ATCCGTGGGATACTGCGCGGTCGGCCATGAAGAGGCATCTTGCGGGCATCGCCGGATGGGTCCCTGTGATGCCTGCCACAAGGACGCCGTGGGGAACGTGTCACTCCGTAACCGGAGCTGCCCCGCGAACGCAGAGTCGGGCTGCACGCCCATCCACACAGCCCCTTGCATCCATCGTCAGCCCAGACAGGACCCGCAAGTCAGCTGGCACCCACGAAGCAAGCCACTTCTGCTTGCTATGCCTGGCACTCGCTCCGGTCTGGCCACAAAGCGCCCGGGCAGGTGTCGCCTTCTCGCGTTGCCTCGTGCGAGGGCTGCACGGCCTGCTTTAGCTTTCTCCGTTCGGGAGCCAGCCAGGTGGGCTCTTGCTCCTTCAAAGAAAAGGGTGCTGCTGAATCTGTGTACTTGGAACGGAGATCTCCGTGTGTGGAAGAGTAAGAAGTACTTGTTGGGGTCTCTTCCCCTGACCTTGTGCGTGCCAGATGGGTTGGGCAAGGACTCCCGGGAGTCCTGGCCACTGGCCATGGTGGCCACAGCTGATGGGTGCAGGACATCTATGGAAATCCGCGGGATCTCCTGCCCTTCAGTGCCCTAAATCAGATGCAAGGGACTGGGGAGGGTGGCCAGCCACAAATGAGAGCACAAGCCCCGGCCCCTCTCAGCTGGCAAGTGTCTGGAAAGCATCACCGGCCGGGATTTTGCCATAGCCGGACACCTTTGCTTCCAGCCCACCTGCCACTGGGATCTTTTGCAGGTAGGATGGAGATTGCCGTCTCCCCCCACCCCCCGAGTGGGTTCCTGCTCCAAGCTGCAGAGAGACGCCAGGCATCTGCAACAGAGATGAATAATTCAGACCCCGCTTGCATCCTCCAGGGAAGATCAAACTCCCCTCCTAATCGATGGTTTCCAGACAGAGCCCGAAAGAGCAGGAGGGGGTGGCCGTGCAGCCAGGCCAGAGGCCTCCCCCCTCTGCTGTGTCTTTCCAGAGGTATCGATCCCAAGCCAGGCATGCAGAAAGATGGGGCCCTCCTCTCCATTAGCCGGGTTTGTGCCGGCCACCCGATCCCCCCTGGGGAGGGCGTCTTCACGGCGGTGGCATCTCCTCCCAGCCTTTCTCCCTCTGCTCCCAGTGGGGCAGAGATTCATTTCAAGGCCCTGATAAATCGGTGTGTGTGTGTGGGGCGGGGGGGGGGTTGCTTTTTCTCTCTTCAGCACATTCAGATGCCAGGCGTCTTCTGATCCACCCGGCATGAGCCTAAAATTGGAAGCATTCCCTTGATGCTGAGATTCCGACTCGTGTGGGCTCCTCGCCTCCCCCCCACTCCCTCCTTCCCTCCCCCGCCCCTCTTTTTGGTCTTTTATTGCTTTGTTTCCAAGCCAGTTCTCCAGGAAAGCAGATTTGGCACGAGACAGCATTCCTGCACCTGTTGCCTCCCTCCCAGGCAGAGGGACCTGTCTCCATGGAAACAGCCTGACATCCCAGAGAGATGCTCCAGGCGGGAAGGGCTGGGTTCAAATGAGCGCTGGGCTGCTTTTCCCTGCCCTCCCTGTGCCACTCGCATGCCGTGTGCCTCCCCATAGCTCCTCTGCCCGAACGTTGGCACAAGCTGTCGGCCTTGGGCGGTTTCAGACCGTGCTCCACAGCTCGCCGTGCTGGGTTCAGACAGCCGGGGAGACACGCACAGAAAGGGGAGTTAGGGAAATCTCATGGTGCACGATCCACACGCGAGGAGCCGGGGGCGGGGAAGCGTCCAGCGCCCACCTGAACCCGGCTGAGGCCTAACCAGAGTGTCCCCGAGGCCAAAGGGCCTTGCCGGTTAATACTGGCATATCAACCAACACTGGGGCTGGACCACTGGAATAGCTCAGCCCTTGTCGGGCCAAGAGGTAGGTAGAGTCAGACTCCTCCTTTAGAAGCACGCCATTTGGTGTGGTCTGCTCCTTTTTCTGCCCCTCGTGTGTGTGGACTTGACTCCAGAAAGGCCCCCAAAATGGCAGAATTTGCCGAATTGAATTCACATGTCCACCACTTGAACCAGAAAAATGGTTTCCTTCGTCCAATCCAGCTTGTTCCTAAAAGAGTCTCTGTCGACAGTTTAGGATCGTAAAACAGCAGAGTTGGAAGGGGCCATGAAGGCCATTGGGTCCAACCCCCAGCTGTTGCAGGACACCAGTTCACACCATCCCACTCAGAGGGCTGCCCAGTTTCTTTCTGGAATGTTCTGTTGTGCATTTAAAGTACCAGTTGGCATCATGGATGAAAACCTTACTGGCACCGAAATGAGGAATGGTGTACATGCAGGAGGGGTGGGGTAGGGTACCTGGATGGAGCTTTAAGGATCCCTGGAACTGCTTGCGAGGTGGTTCATGTCTTGCGTGCGTCTTGCAGCGCTCATTTCTGAGCAAGCTGACCTGCAGCTACCTGTAAGGTGATACATGTGTGGCATTTAAAGACATTTTGCAGGGCTCCAGCTTGTTCCGTGTGGCTTCCCTCCCAGTAGAATATTGTGTGTTAGTAACATTGGGATGTGGCTGTGTGGATTTGGGGCTGCGCCCACCTCTGGAATCCACCCCCAGTTGCTTTCTCTGACATGGAATCTGGCCCTCGTGGCTAACACTGTCCATCAGCTCTGATACGTACGTACACCTGTTGCACATTCAGTGGGATCAAGCTACGCATGGACCGCAGGTCTTCCGTCTGCAGAGAGAGGAGCACCAGATGCCCACGCAGCCATCTGGGCCAGTATCTGGCCAGCCACGGTGGCGCCTTACAGGCCCAGGCAGGAGTGTTTCTGGCTCGACCCAGAATTGCTGGGCGTCACTGTGCGAGGTGGGTCCTTCACCACGATCCTGCCCCACGCCAGCAGATTCCCTGCACGCAGAGACACAGACTGGGACGAGGGAAGGCTTCTGGGAACGTGGGTTCCTTCTGTGAAGGAAGGAATTGCTCTCCCGCCCACACACGCCCTTCTCTCCTTGGAGAGGGATTCGTTTCATCAGGTGAGCTCCCCCTCTCCCGTCTGCGGTGCTCTCCAATCAAGGTACTCTGTGCAAGCCAGACGACTTTTCGATTGTGCCACCAATGACTCTGCACTGGGAAGAACCGTTCCCCCGCCCGCAGCAGGAAGATTGAGACGCATGCCTTCAAAACTGCCTGGCTGCATATTGACCTGGAAGACAAAGTAGTTTCCATGGAACCAGCACCGTTCCCGGAGGAGAATGCGAGACGGCTGGTGATCCATGCGGTGGAGTCGGCGGGTTCAGCTTCCTCACCGTGCGCTTGCTTTTGCGGGGGTGACCCAGCGAAACGGCAGGGCGGCTGGCAGGACCACCGGGCGTGTGCCAGCCCTGCCGGCGTCCGGCTGGCTGCAGCCCGTGCGCTCGCCACCGCTGGTGCGCTTGCCGGCCAGGCCTCTGCCGACGGTGCTCTCCGAGTGCGGGCAGAGGCGTGCCCGGGGCGAACCCTTCTGCACGGTCCACTGGGCAGCAGCGGGTCCCTCCCCTGCCCAGGACCTCCCACTGACTTTCCTCCTGGCCTACCTTGCAGGATTGTTGTGAGGATCAAGACGGAGTGCGGGGTGACTCGGTGACAGGCTGCCTTGGGTTCTTTGCAACAGGGATATAGATGCAGCAGCAGCAGAAGCAATAATATTAAGGATTATTCTTTTGGATTATAAGAACCTGCATTGTAATAAGGATAATTATTAATAAGCATTAATTGCAATAATTAATAATAAGGATTTTAATTGGTATGCATGGGTGCAGATATTAAAATAATCCTTATAATTTAATAGAAATAGTGTACCTGTCGGCATCACACTGATGGTTGTAACCTGATGACCTGTGTCTGCACCTGGTGAGCCTGCAGCCTGCGTCTGACTCCTGTGGGTCTGCGGGACCCTTATACCAGAAATGGATGGGGCAGCCCTTCAGATATGGGAGGACAGCCCTAGCAACCGAGGACTGTCTGCTGTGGAAGAGGACACCCTGCACACCCTGTCCCATGGAAGACTCCCTCCCTCCTCACCCAGCACAGGGGGCACCCGAGTGCGTTTGCGTGTCAGACGGTCCTGCCCATCTGTGGAGCCCTTTTCTGTCAGCTACTAGCAAACCCAGCCCTCCTCACAGGACCATTTACCTTTAGGGTGAAGCAAACGCACTTTGCAAGCACTAAATGGATTGTTTGCATTTATTTGCGGTGGTTATACTTCGGCCAATGCCTTCTATACAGATCAGCATCTTAATTTTGCATTTCTTTCTAACCCCAAAAGCTGTACTGTCTGTTACAGTGAACCTGTAATGTGCATGAAAAGATGCAGATTTTAGGCCCTGTCTTGAAGTAAGGCCCCTCTTGCCTGCCAGCTTGGCCTGGCTGTGCTCATGGATACTGAGGCTCTTCCTGAACCACGAGAAGTCAGGATAAACCCTCAGGGATACCCTTCCCCGGAGAGAACTGCAGGAAGCTCTGCCTAAAGCAACCAGCAGGAAACATCTGGAACTGTAAGGAGAGGCTAGAATCACAAAATCATGGAACAGTCGAGTTGGAAGGGGCCATGAAGGCCATCCAATCCAGCCCCCAGCTGTTGCAGGACGCCAGGTTGCACCATCCCACTCAGAAGGCTGCCCAGTTTTGCCTTAAACCTGGAATTAAAACTAAAGAGTTTCATTGGGGATTTGAGTGAGCATGTTAAGAACTGAAGGGCTTTGTAGTTATCCATCGTTTCGGGTCTCTGAGGGCAAACTGACTCACTTAAAGATGCAGCAGTGTTATCAGCCACGGCGTGTGTTAAGAAATTGGGTCAGGACGTGGTGGGGGGGGGCGGAGTGGCCGCCCCTTCCCTTCTGCTTGGCGTGGCCACTTCTCTTTTGTACCGGTGGTGGAGTGACAGGTTTCGGAGCGTCGGGGCTGGGTGTGACGGTCCGCAGAGCCATTCCACGCAGGGCCGGCCGGCGTTGGAACCCACTGACCGCGCTTGCCTTCTGTCTCCCGCTCTTCCCAGGACGTCCCATTCCCGGGCCAAGGCAGACGCAGCGATGACGGCAGCACAGAAAGCCCAGGAGGAGGCTCGGATTGCCCGGATCAGTGCCAAAGAGTTTTCGCCTTCCTTCCAGCACAGGGAAAACGGTCAGTACAAGTCGGGCCCACGGTGACTCCATCCCCTGGGGGAGTCTGGCCAGCGGTCCACGCAGGGACCCTTTGGAGTCCACCCTGCTGCCGAAGGTCCCCGTGGCCACGTCTCCAAGGAGGCCCCAAAGAATCATTCCATTGAGTCCACCCATCCCACTTCTCCTCAAGAGTAGATCCACTGGGAAATGAATGGAGCGTAACTGCTCACTGGGAGATCTTCCCCCCACCCCCACCCCCCGCATTCCAAAATACATCACGGCAGGGATAGCTTTGTGCACTATATTGCCGGTGGGACCCCCCCCCCCACCAGCTAGTATGAAGATCGAAGCTGTGCACAGAGGGAACGGAGGATTCTTAGATGGCTGGAGCCGGGGGTCAGACTAGATGGCCCGGGAGGTCCCTTCTGACTCGCGCTGTTTCTGTGTTTCTCTGCTGTTCTGATGTTTGTGTTATTTTCCACTAGAAGGACCGCAGTGCCAGGGGGCCGTGCATGTATTTATTTTTGTGATTGCTTGAGCTGCAAGAGGCGCTAGGTATTCATTCCTGCCGGTGTCTAGTCTAAGCGTGGTGCCGGATTTCCACCACAGATCCATTGCTCCTTGCTCCTCCTGCCCCTCCACAGAGGCCACTCCCTCTCCTTGCCAGTCCTGGAGTTCCTCAGGGCCAGATTTGCATCCATTTGGCTCCTGTTTTCTGTGCAGTCAAGATTCTGGGTGACATTCGCAATCCTTGGGGGCTGCAGCAGCCAGAGCTCCCCCTGGCATGTTCCAGCTACGCACCCTTTGCCCAATTTGCTCAATGTATCCGTGGCGTGAAATTCGGCATTTTATTGGATTTTCGTTGCAACCTTATCTGGGGTCCCTTACGTGGGGAAGAGAGAATGGCACGAGAGAGACGGGTGCCTCCTCAGCAGCACACCGGGAGTTGCCTGAAAAACGAAGGCGATGCTTCCGCCAATTAGCAGCTGCGGAAGTGAGAAAGTGGATCAGAAGCATGCCAGGGCACCAAGCAGAGCTGCATGATGGGCTCTCCTTCTCGGGGTCAGGGAAGTCTTCGGTATATTCCAAAATGACACAAGAGGGCCTTTGTGCAGGGACAAGAAGTGAACAGTCACATACACAGGCATACACAATCGCTCTTGAGCGGCAGCTAAGCGATGCTGAAGTCGGGCCAGAGGTGGAGATGCTGAGACTCCGGATTGTTTGGCTGTGTGTGTGTGTGTTGTGCCTGCCTTTCTGTGCAGGGCAAAAGACAGAAGTGGGATGGGTGAAAAGAAGCAATTCTGTCTCGCAGTCGTTAAGCAACATATTAATTAACGTGTGCAGATGTCACAGCACACAATTCTAGTGCTTTTCACCCGCTTCAGGAGGTTTTTCTCTTTTTGCTGCTGCTTTACGTGCTCCAAATTAGAGGTTGGAGGGTCTGACAGGGATGATTCATTTTGCTCGCTTCTCGTCCCTGCGTGGTTTGTGCCTTCCCTTCCATCCACCCCCAAGTTTCTTTTCATCAGCGGGAAGTTTCTGGCTCTTCAGCTGCAGGAACCAGTGTAAAATAAATACTTCTGCATGGGTGTGTGCTCCAACGTGAAAATAACACACTCGGGAACAGGAAGGGTTTATTTTCCAGTTAATAAAATCAGAATATTTCGGTTGAACCCAGAATAAGAAAATCATTCAGGGTGCTTTTTCGGTGGCTTCTCCCAAAGCCAACATGCCTTCTCACAAACATTTAGGACCAAGAAAAAATATTCAAGGATGCCATGGCTTTTAAATATTTCATGCCATGGGTGAAATAGGCAGCATATAGATGCTTTAAAAAATAAATAAAATACAACATCAGTACTACAAATACTGTATCAGCTGCCTCAATTTTGAATGAAGGCTTTTCGGTGACGGCCCTGGAAAGGTGCTTCTGTCACACCCCTCCTTTTGCAGCGCAAATCAGATAACGAGCCTGGTGCACGAAGCTATTCTCCCTTCGGAGAAGGTGCTAGTTGGACATCAACACTCCCGGGGTTATCGCTTCCTTACAGGGCACAATCTGGATATCAGATATCTGAGCCTTTTACAGGTTTCCTTGCGTCCCACGGCTCCTACAACCCCGAACTTATTTGTTATCAGCATCTCCAGTTGGAAAGGGACTTCTTCCCTTTCAGCCTAATCTCTTGAAAAGACTTTTCATCTGCTCCATTGAATAAAACCCACTTCTAAGGCTTCCACTGCAAAATTCTGTTTGCCTTAGCATTTGTTTCCGATGCTTTTGCATTTACACGTTTTAATGCATGTTCCAATTTTGTGAGTATTTTTTCCAAAAAAAGTCTAGCATGCCAGGAGGAGATCATGCCTGAGAGAAATTAAGCAGGTGGAAATGAGGTCCCTTGTATTTCTTGCCTCAAATCCTCAGGTTGCAAACTACAATCAAACAGAAATAGGATAGTCGAGGTCAACATATGCCTAAAATCATTTCCACTACTGCGGGTTATCTAAATACAAGATAAAAGGCCAAGTAGAAAGATGGGTTTGGATGTTAGAAGGGCAAAGAATGGATCGTTCCAAACTATCTATACTGTACTACAGTCATAGAGTCGCTTATCCGCAGTTGGCTGAATTGGGGTGATGTCCGAGAATGTTCACAAATATTTTATAATCGTGCTTCTATGAAGGAAGGGGTTTCATGTGTGGATTTGAGCTAACCAGCCGTTCTTTCATAACAGGATTCTAGTCTTGCTTACTACGGTAACTGATTGTCTGCAAGCAGACGGACATGTAACTCCTTGCGTGTGACCAAGGAGTTACCTCCATTTAGAACGTTCTGCTCTTGTTCAGTGCTGCTAAGGGTAGATTCACACATGCCAGCAGTCATGGGAATGGCGAAAATAATGTTGGAAGAAGGCATGAACCCAAGCAACAAACATAGAACAAGCTTATTGCTTCTCTAAAGGCACAGGAATTTGCAGAGTCAGCTCGAGGGATGGGGCCACTCGAGGCAAAGGAGAAAGTGGCATCTTCTCCTTCGCCACGGGCAGAAAAGAAATCTGCTGGCACTGAATATTTCTTCAGCAGCATCTTCCGTTATGTAAGAACGGCAGGGCAGACTGGGGGCACAGGGCTGTGTGGCCCCACAGCTCTTTGCCCCAGCATCTTTTGGCCGCCTCCCAGAATCTGCCGCCCGAGGCCACGGCCGTGACTCTGCCTCGTGGCACGGCCGGCCCTGCCGACTCGCCAGTTCCTTTGCACACCGGGCGCTTAGTTCTTCCCCCTCCTGCTCTCCAGGGCTTGAGTGCCAGCGGCCGAAGCGCCAGAACTCGAGCGACGACATCGAGGTCCTCTCAACGGGGACGCCGCTGCAGCAGGAGAGCCCCGAGCTCTACAGGAAGGGCACCACGCCCTCGGACCTCACCCCGGACGACAGCCCCCTGCAGAGCTTCCCTGCCAGCCCCTCCTCCACCCCCCCTCTGGGCCCCTCCTGCAGAAACAAGAGCACGCACTTCTCCAGGCAGGTCTGCATGGACGAAGAACGGGGTGGGGAAATCCAGATGCTGCTGGAGGGCCGCGGCAGGGACTATATGAGGCCCAACAGCTGGGGCGAAGACAAGGAGGGCGGGGCGCACGCTGTGCGAGGGGGGCCCTTGCGCAGCGGCCACCCCTGCTCCTCCGAAGACTACCGGGGCCGAAGCAGCGGGCACAGGCATGCCGCTTCCAATCACAAATCGCGGGAGAAGTGGACAGATCCCCCTGCCACGGTTTCGTGGTCCCATCACCGTCCCCACCACCACGGCCCCGGAAGCAACAAGCTGCAGGAGCTGGACGAAGAGAAGCTGAGCAATTACGAGATGGAGATGAAGCCGCTCGTGAAGATGGATTCGTACATGCAAGAAATGCACGCCCAGAAGAGACACTACAGTAAGACGGGGCCCAGCCGAAGCCTGGCGGACGACCATCACGGCGACGACCGGAGCTTTGGGGTCCAGAGACTGAGGCCGAAGTCCCAAAACAAGGAGGGCTTCCGGCCCACGTCTTCTACCGAGCCGACGGTGCAGAAGCTGGAAAGTCTGCGGTTTGGGGAGAAAGGGGAGCCCCGCCTGTTGAGGTGGGACTTGACCTGCTCCCCCCCCACAGAAGTCCTTACCTGTTGCACTAGAACCAGAGGAGGAGAATACGGATGAGCTCAAATCCGGTGCGGTAAGTGTGTGTGTGTGTGTGTGTGTGTGTGTGTGAGTGAGAGAGAGAGAGAGAGAGAGAGAGAGAGAGAGAGAGCGAGCGAGCGAGCGAGCGAGCGAGCGAGCGAGCTCTTAAACCAGGGTACAGGGCCTCTGTCAGCCCATGGGACACATTCCATCTCTGGGAAGGAAGGTTGTGGGGCCACAGGCCAATGACGGAGGCCAAACGGGACCGGGATGACAACATCAGCAGCCAGGCTATATAAACGTAAAGCACTTAGTGAAGCAGCCTGGGAAATAGATGCATATTTTGTTGCACATATAAGAGTGGGGTGAAGAACACAGGTGCTGGGGAACTGATTCACTGTGTACTTTTTCCAGGGTAACAGCACAGCTTTGCTGCTCTTACAGGCTGTGTAAATCTATGATTGTGTTCTAACAAAACGATCACCCGCACTCAACAGCTGTGAGTGTCGATGATTGTCAAAAGGTTGGTATCTCATTGCCTGAATCCAGCCAAGGCAACAGACCACAATGAACAGCATGCTAAACCTTGCTTGTAGGTTATGCAAAGTTGCCGTCCCAGTGGAATGGCAGAAGTGAAATTTGGAGATGTTCAAAGGCCAAAGGATTCCAATTAAGAGGCAGAACTAGTTCGTTGCCCTTGGAACACGCTTTGCATCATGTCAGCTGGAGCTCCGTGCCAGCAAGAGGCCAGAAACAGAGCTTTGCTGGGACGGGGCGTCTCCTTGGCCCGCAGGACACTGGAAGGCTTGCCGGGTTTAGCCAAGAGATCTCCATTCAGGAGTGCAGACGTAAGAAGCGTTTAAAGGTTCAGCCATGGGGATTAGCACAAAGGTCTTTGCTGAAGGAGAACGGCAGGGGCATAAACCTTTTTATCAGATCAGTCGTGTGTCTTAGCTGGACTCCTCCGGACCCCTGCCAAGGCTGCGGGTACTTTCTCAAGACTCGGGCAGTTTTCAGCCCTGGGCTGCTGCGTTTCCCTGCAGAGGTCCAAAGAGCGCAGGGGAGAGGCAGAGAGCAAGGAAGGAGAAGGGCAGCCTGGCTGTAAAAGGGGGGCTGGACTGCTCCTGCCCGTGCCTTGGCTGCTACGAGAGTGGCCAGCGAACACTTTGCCAAACGAAGAGGAAGTGCATCTTCAAACAGGAGGAAAAAAGGGAACACCCGCTGAAATCGCATTTCCATGCACGCAGTGAGCTCCTGCGGCCCCTTCCTTTGCATCGCCAGCTGCTGGAACTCGCCCCGTTGGGTTCTGCCACCCTCCCTTCCACCCCCCATCTGTTCAGGCCAGTGCGACCTCTCCAGGCCCCTGGATAATTAATTCCTTTCCTCTTCTTCTTCCACAGGGATCGGCACCCATCCTGGTAGTCATGGTGATCTTGTTGAACATTGGAGTTGCCATGTTGTTTATTAACTTTTTCATCTAACTCAAGACTGTCTTGTTTGCAAAAATTAGCAGATTAATAATAAAAAGGTGTACGAATGGGGGATAATGAAGCAAACAACAAAGAACAAAAACAGAACCAGGAAAGATGCGGTGTTTTTGAACTGTCCTGCGACAACTTCCAAGTCTTTTCACAGAAGAACAACAAACGATTGAGTATCACTCACAGTCTGCCTTTTTTCCTGGGTAATGTTTTTGGATTTTAGCCAAAATTCTTTGCTTGTATAACACGTATGCTGTGTGGCATGGCAGAATGGTAACAGCACCCCTGTCCTCCCAGCACCAGTCAGGATGAGAAGGGCCCTTCAGGGAGGCTAACCAGAAAACCCTTTCTGGCCAAGGAGGTCCTCCCTCGATCGAGTCGTAGGAACACGTTCAGCTCAGCTGTGCAGAAAGGCTGCCATGGGTCGGCGAGGTTTTTAAGTGACCTGCACATCACCTGATGAATTCCCAGCTGCAGCATCAGCATGAGTTGGGAAGTCGAGGGGAAACACCTAAATTGTGTCTGTAGCAATTGATGTATGCCAATCCCTTCTCCACCCCATGCAAAACACAAATCAATCCGTACCAGTTCAGACACACTACTTTTCTGGAAGCAAAGTTCACCCCAAAACCATTTAGAATAGCTAGAAGAAAAATCTTAAGCACCCATTAAATCCCTCTAGGTTAGTGGTCCCGGAATACCAGATAGCTCCTCTGAGTAAACACTCAAAACAGTGACTTAAAATTTGATTATTACAGAGTATGCAAAATGTATAAAAAGTACTTGCATAAAGCCACAGAGCTGGAAAGATGTCTTGGCTCAGGTAAAAACCCGTCCCTACGACGCCGGAAAGTTGCCGATCTCTCCCATTGCCAAGGAACGTTTTCTCGGCCATACTTTCCTTCCGGCCTGGGATCAGACCTTGTCTCAGTAGGATCTTTTTAAAAGATGACTCAAGTTCTCCTGGAAATTTATTCATTTCCCTGTGGACCAGACGCCAAACTTCGCCAGGGCCGGCCTCTCACCCTCTCCTACTCTGCCCAGGACAGGTGGTGCGGGAGGAAGCGTCCCCCTTGCCTTCTTCCACTGCGGTGTTGGCCGTGCTTGGCTGCTGAGCTGACGGTTTGCCGGAAGGCCTCCCGGAGGACCTTCTCGAGGGGCCCGGAGTGGGCAGCCCCCTCCGCTGCAGGTGGGGAGCGGAGTGTGGCAGGGCTCTTGTTCCATCTTGCCATGGGCCATTTCCAGAAGTCATGCTTGGCCTCTGAGCATGTAATATTTTTGCACTTTGTTCGCAGGATGTATATTCCAGCTTCCGACATATCCCTGTACAAAACAAAAAACGACATCAACAGCAGCAGCCTTCTCTGCCTGTGTCCTGCTCTTTTTCTATCGGGTTTGTTTCCCCCACCCGCTCCTCTGTGTATCACTTGATTTTGCTATGGTTCAAAACATCTTCGTAAGATGCCTGCCTTTTTCTTCTTTCGTGCTTTCCGTTGGGTTTCCATTTGACTCCCCTGGTAATCCACTGGAAATATGCATTGTCCATTAAAGATGCGATGGCCCTTCTTGGAGCTGTGATCACGGCGCTGGGAGCGAAACTTCAGCTCAGGCTGGTTGTCTGTTGAAACCCAGGCTCCAGAACATGGGCCACGTCCTCCCTGCCGGCTTTGCCACATGGCTCTGGTGCCTTGGGTCCAGGCAAGCTCCTCCCTTCTGTATTCTGCACGGGGACCAATTTCTACTTCCCGTTTCTTTGCCACCGGAGCAAGATTAAGATGCTTCCTGTTGGTTGAATGTTGGGTGCGAACCACGCAAGCGCAACTCCAGGGAGCAGCTGAGGCTGAAGCCGGTGCTCTCCGGAGCTTGTGGATTGCGGCTCCCCTAAGCCCCGCTGGAATACCCGTGGTCCTGGGGGCTGTAGCCCAAAACTTCTGGAGAACATCAGGCTGCCTCCTGAGTTATGCGCTTCCATCCTGGTTGCCTCTGACACATGGAAGAAAGCCCCCGAGCACGCATGGATGCTGCTGATGGTCCCCAGCAAAAGTGTGGGATTGTGTGAAAAGCACACAAGGACCCCCTTTCCTGTGGGGTTACACCCAGCACGCTTAGCAGCAGGTCAGAAGAAAACCTGGAGCCACCGGGCCTGTGATCTCCCCCAGACTGGCAAAGATGGGGTGGGGTGAAGGAGGGAGGGCCAGCCTTCCCACAACCATCCAGGTTTGTCCTTAGTTCCCTGTCCACCACTTGGCTTACCTTTTAGCTGTCTCTGTGCTTATCTCTTGAGCAGGTATCTTTCCCACGCTGCATTGGATCGCGACATTTTTAACCGGAAATAAACTGAAGAGCAGAGCATCCAGCCCTCAAATCCCATTCTTGTTTCCCCTTGAAATCTCTCCTGCGACAGCTCCCCACCCCATCGCTGGCCAAAAGCAAAGCAGCTCCATTGACACGCCGACATTCCAGCTGCGGCGCGTTGTCCAAAAAGAAACGCCATTCCGGAAAATGGTTTTGAGGCTTCCAATAAGGGCATGGCAGAGTCCGTGTCCAACAGGGCCTGTTCACAAGAGACCCCGGACTGAGATACATAGAAACACAGAAACAGCGCGAGTCAGAAGGGGCCTCCCGGGCCATCTAGTCTGACCTCTGGCACCAGCCGGCTCCGCTCACGACAGGCCCCCCATGTGCACGTCCAGCCTTGCTGCTTTTCGTCATGGCTAAGCTAGTGTTGCAGCTGAGCTCTGCAAATCCAGGATTCAAAGGCTTCCTCTCACGCTTGGAAGATGAGCCGAGCTGAGAGGAGACCAAATGCTCACGTGCAAGACGTGGAAAAGGGTTGCAGCTTGCACAGCATGTGATGAGCATCGTGTCTCCTGGAAGCAGACTGGGTTATGGGGGGCCAAGCTGAAGGAATCCGACACATTCCCCACCCCAAACACGTCCCTCCCGCACGTTCACCTGCCGCTCACCTGGTGGTGGTGAGAAGGTGGAGCAGGGGATGCCACGGCCTCCGGGCTTCCTGGTGCTGTTCCTGCCAAGCCAGGCGATGAGGGCCATGATAAGGAAGAGGAGGAGCTGGGGCAGAGGTGGTGAGAAGGGAGAGGCCTCGCCAAGGGCTCTGGGCAACCAGGAGTTGGCACGGGCAGGCCCTGAGGGGGCAGGCCCTGGTGCTCGCCGGCCAAGCTGGGCTGCCCGGTTGAGACCAGCAGGACGGGGCACACCTGTTCGGAAGCTCCTCCTCCGTACAATAAAACTGCTATGCATCAAAATTGGGCATGCCTTTGGCTGGCATGCCCCTTTTCTTTGCTTCCCGCGCTTTTCTGGTGCAGGGAAGGCCTCCCGCTTGCAAGCCTTCCTCTGAAGGAGTGCAGGCCGGCCGTGATGCAGCTCAGCCACAGCCTAGCCCCTCGTCCATGCGGAATGGCTGGCCTGCACCCCCCCCCCACAAAACGGGTCCCCATTCTCTGATCAAAGTGACGGTGGCGAAAGGTAAGCCATGACGGCTGTCCAGCGCACTGGGCTGCAGCACCTCCTTTGGGGCATCTGCAAAGCAGCAACTCTTGCACGCTGCAACGGCGTTGTCGGCGTCCGCTCGGGGGGCATCTGCCTTGCTCTCCCTCGCCGGGTCCCACAGTGCGGGTCTGTCATCCGTGCAGAAGGACATGGACTGGGTGGACATCTGTGGCTGTTCCCGTTGGCCTGTGCCGAGGCAGCCTGTGGGCCTGCCTGCAATGCAACGCCGCCTCAGAGGGGCGGGTTGAAGGCGCCCACGGGAGGAGCGAGAGGGGTCTGCTGAGAAGACACGCCACCTGCCCCACGGGGCTGGTTGGCACATGCAGGGCCGGGGGCTGGTGGCGAGGGGCGCAGCATGGCCTCCCCGCCTGCTCGCACCCTCTGCACTCAGGCACGGCTTGCCCAAAGACCCGTCTCCACATGCCCCTGGCAACCATCGACGCTTGTCAAGGAGGGCGCTGTCCCAGGCCTGCGGCTGGGTCCTTGCGTCCACGCTCGATCCAGTGTCTGCTATTTACACGCGGAAGAACACGCGGGCGCGGGTGGAGGGTGAAATGACAAACACATCTTTAGAGGCGGCAGGGAGGGGAAGTTTCCCATCGATAAAAAGTAATGACTGTTTGAGTCTTCCCTGTGGGTTGATCTATTTATCTTCGCTTCTGCCCTTCTCTCTCTCTCTCTCCCCAACGGCCAAAAATAGTCTTACAACATTTATCCAAAGATACAAGCAAGACATTCCTGGGAACTAGCCAAAGTATGTTCCGAAGACCGTTGATCTGTTTTCTAGGCTGCAGGGCTCATGCAGGGCTCTGCACGAGGCTGGTGATGCAGCGCTGGAGAACTGAAGCGACAGGAGGGCAGACGGCCTGCCATGTTCCCATGCAATGCTGCACCGTCGGGAGCCTTTCCGTTGCAGAAATCCAGGCCGCAAGAGTCCAACAGCAGGGGAGCTGGTGTGTGAGAAAACTGGAGGGGGCGGAGGAAAGGGGGTGCTAGGCCAGCGGGGAGTCTGCCATAGCTGCCCAAAAGCGTGTCACGTAAGATACCCAAAAGCGGCTGGAAGGGTGGAGGTTAAGCCACTGTCCTCCTTCATGCTGCACTGAAGCACAGAGAAGAGAGTCTGGAACTTTTGACGATGCCCAAGATGCTGTAGGGCTACAAGCAGCACTGTTTCTGACCCCTGGGCATGCTGGCTGCGGCTGCTGGGAGTTGGAGTTGAAGGCTATTATCTGGAGGTGCCCACGGCAGCTGTAAACGCACACGGATGAAGCGGAGAATTTTGTAGATGGAACATCCCAGTCCAGTGGTTTGAAATGCAGCAGGACGTGGCAGGGCTGGAGGGGAGGGTCGCAGTGGACGTGGGCTCCCCTCTGAGGCCTCACGGAGCCTCAAAGCAAAGCATTCAGTTCTGCTCTGGGGAAAGATGCAGCCCAGCCTGGTTTGTCCGAGCAGGGAAACTCTGGCACACCTGACCGGTGCACAGAAAGGTGGGACGTCCCTGCAGCCTGCCTCCAAAATCCCCACTCAGTGAAACAGCTCATTCAAGAGAGAGAGAGAGAGAGACAGACAAAGAGTGTCCTAAAGAACAAAGAACTTTTATTTACCAAACGGTTTTGCAATGACAAGCCCCGCTGCCCGGTCCAGTGATGAGGGCAGGAAAGAACGGCCTCAGACGGGGCTGCTGCTAACTCCAAGTGGCTCCCAACCTGAGCAGCCACCATGACAAGCCCTGCATTCCTCCCTCAAGCTCCCTCCGCCTGCAGACACAACCGTGTGCCCCCTTCTGGCGCCCCCTGCATCTTCCCGCAACAAGGGGGCATCCATGCTGCCGGGAGACGTTTCATCCGGTGGGAAGTGAGTGAACAAGAGGCCCAGGAAGCCGAACTGGAGGTGGGCTCGCCCAGGGCGTGATGGAGTCCTCCTGCCACCAGGCCAGCTCTGAAAGGCACCGCAAGCGACATGGTGCAGCTCCTCCTGAACTTCATCCCTCAGACGGGAGATGCCTGGCGCTGCTCCCACGGCTAGGAGCACACCGAAGAGAGGCGCTGCCCCGTCACACGGGAGACACTCAGCCACGGGGTTCAAGAAAAGCTGCACCGTGCAAGTTGATGGCGCGCGTGTGTTGAAGCCCCCGAGTTCCTGAGTAGAGGCAAACCTGCGTTCCAACCCAAGGAACCATTTGCTTCTCCCAGGGAACGGTTTCCTGCAGCGCATGAAGAGGAGCGCGATGCACAGGTGCCCAGTCTGGAGTGCTGCATCGGCTGCAGCAGTTCCCTGTGCTGCTAAGCCAGGCCCCTACTCCGATGCCCAGCAGCAGCAGCAGGGGAGGGCCCTCTAGGCAGACCCTTCATAGAAGGCCTTCGCCATGGCGTGCCCCACTTTCACGGTCTTCTTCTCTTTGGCCCCCGGACGCATGTTCTGGCAGGCCAGTTTCACCCAGTACTGCTCTGTCCTGGAGAGGTAATCCGCGTACTCTTCGTTGGGCCGTACAGGGGGGTGCTCTCCATCTCCTGGAGTGCAGGGAGGAGACAGAAGGGGACAGGAAGCAAGACTTCAATAAGCAAGCCTGCAAGGTAGAACACCTTTTCTTCCAGGTGTGGCTCCCGAGCCAGAGCGGATGCTGCCCACTGTGAAGTCTTGGTACCTCAAGCTATTGAGGAAAACTAAGCTGCCGGCAGCAGAAACATTTAGCATCTTCGGCGAGTAACACGTCTTTTTTGTCTCTATACACCTAAACGAGATTTGTGAGGTGCAGAGTGAATTTGGCGAACTCCACAGCCACGGCAGGAGCTCCTGTCTCCCAAGTTCTGAATCCGGCCTGCTGTGGAGCACTGCCCTCCTGCCAACCGTAGTCCTGAAATTCTTCCTTCTTGCAGTGCTATTTGACGGGGCCAGAGAAGCCGGCTTGTGGCCAACTTCAGTCTCACTCCAGTCCCATTCATTCTAGTGGGTCTACTCTAAGTTGGCCCAACAGTGGATACAATCCGTTGATTCCCTACGTTCCCGTTCGAGACAGCTATTCTGCAACCACGGTAAGAGCTGTTGGCAGCACGATTCTGTGCATGTTTACTCAGAAAGAGGCTCCCTGAATTCTATGGGACTTACTTCAAGGTAACACTAAAAAGAGTTGCAGCATAACCCTTCAACATCTAACAAGCTGCTCAAAGTACAAAACGAAGATAAAAACAACCTGCCACATCTTCTCGGTTTTTCCCTTTTTCCCAGAGGGGCACAGGGTCCAAAGGACCCAGTTCATTCCCATATCCACTTAACAGAATGCCGGCTGCTTATGTCAGTCCCAACGTTTTGGGAAGGGCCAACCAGCAGGAAGCCGCAGCTCTTCCTTTCCAGCACACCTGGCGATACAGGAGCTCTTGCCTCATATTTTTACAGCACTTGCCTTCATCTTCATCCTCGCTCTCCTCATCGCTAGAGTCGTCTTCGTCCTCTTCCTCTCCTCCCTCGGCGCCTTCCACATCCTCATCTCCCTCTTCATCGGATTCTGATTCTTCAAGCCATTCCTGAGTTTCTGCCAGAGCCCCAGAAGAACACAGAAAGAAAAGGAAATGCAACATTAATCAGAGTAAATGGGTTCCCTTTGGGCATTTCAGCAGCAGCAACATATATGTATACGTACATACATACACACATGCATTATTTCGGCTTTTACTAGAGTAAAACCAGCAGAGCAAAGACCTCAAAAGAGGAGAGGGGGAGGAAAGGAGTACAGTGCCTGGGAGAAGACAAAGGTGACCAAAGAGGCCCTCTCTGGCCTTTTCGCTACTGGGTGCCACCAACAAAGAAGGCCTCCTCTTTCGTGCTCGCTCACCTCACCCAGAAAAACTGCCTGAGGCCTGGCTGGGAATGCATGGAGAGAGACAGGCATCCTGGCCCCAAGCCATCCAGGTCTTTAAAAATTAATTCCCGCGCTTCAAAATGGCCCTGAAAAGCCCAACTTAGCCACGCAGTGCCCAACGCCGGAGAAACTTGCTGCTCTGCTCTGGGGATTCATCAGTGTCCCTCTCCCCGGGCTCAGGCACCGCTCAAGCAACAGACGGGCGCTGGAGGGGCTGCGGAAAGCGTTTTCAGCACAAGCTGAGAGAGCAGGAGGACCTCAATACCCTTTGGTGACTCGGGCAGGATTAGGGCTAAAGTGGCAAGAGCCAGGCACTTATGAGGCCGGCCGGCCGGCTCAAAATTAGCCTGTTTCTGCCAGACGCTCGGTGGGCTCTAAGGCCGTGCGCAGGCACGAGGGGGAAAAGCAGCCCCGGCCACAGGTGCGGATTCTGTCCTCCTAAACAGGCTTTTGTCCCCAGCCGGAGATAAAATTAGACCCAGGTCCTCAGAGCACAGATTTCGAGGAATGTTTCTGACACACGGGAACAGACCAGGCTGCTGAACAAAAGCTCTCCTGCCCTCGTGCTGACAGCTTTGTGATGCGCTTTCTGTCCACACAGTTTAACACAGGAGCCAGTGTTTTCAATATCCGGGCCTTTTCTTTCTTTTGCCAAGTTTCTAGCCCTCAGGACTGCAGAATGAGGCTTGCAAAAGAAAGCTAAAGGGCAGTGCTTGGTGAAATGTCCAGTGGACAGCCACAAGAAGTCCGTGGGTATTTTGTGCCGAAGGGGGTTGATGACCCAACGGCGACCGCACGATCTAAGCTCCACTGTGCAAACAGGAGTAAGCACGCTTGCTTTCATGTTTTGTCTCCATTAAATGGGAAGCAGCGGCGTTGCAAATAAATTGGTTTATTTTCTGTGCAGACGACGATACGCAAATGTGCCTCTACTGGAAGATCAGGGCACCATCCTGCGCACATTTTGACAAAAGCCCTACAACTTCCAAATAATTTTTCTTCTTCTGTCACAGAAATACGTCTGCATTTTTGAAAAATATTCATTTTTCTCTCAGTGCCTAAGTGTTACATTTTCACTTCTTAACATGTTTTTTTTTTTTCAGTTTTAAGTCTTGGGGTCTACGAATCTGATCACAAGCTTGTTAACATACATTTTTGACTGAAAATTGTATTCAGGTCCGGGATTGGCAAACTAGATAACTTGGTGTTAATTTATGAACCCCGATGTATTTCCTCTGCACCCCTCTTGGTACAGTCCTCCTCAGAATATAACTCAGCACGTTTTCTGAAGAGGATGGCATGTTTGAATCCCCCCCATGTTCATGATTAAGGAAATCTAGCAGGCCAAGGAACTGTGGTCCAGTCTAGTTTTCTCCACACGGTGGGAAAGAATTCCCAATTCTGCATGGCCAAAATGAACAGGGTACTACAATTCCCACAAAATTATGCAACTCAAGCCAGCAAAAAATTGCGGATTATTCCGTTTCTGCTGCCCACAGAGCTTCCAAAGAGCCAAAGAGAAGATGGGTGCTTTGCTGTCTGATCCCTGCAAATGCTTCCCAGACTCCAGTGGCCTCTGGACTTGTAAGCTTCTCTTTGGCCATAAGGACCAGCAACTTGTTTTTTCAAAAAGAAAATTCCGCACTTCTCCGCGGTCTTTGCAACTGCATGGTAGAGTGGAAAAGACACACAGGGTTCAAACCAACACGGCCATCAGCATCAACTTACTTGGGTCCATTTCCACCAGCACTCGCCATTCTTCCAACTTGTGGAGGTCGAGGGCGTAGAGGTCGTTGAGCGTGAACTGGCGGTCTCCCACCTCAAACATGCCCCCGTAGACGTACAGCACGCCGTGCTTGACTGCCAGCATGGCATTGGAGCGTGGGCATGGCTCCAGCTGCTGGCCGGAGGCCTCATCTCCGGCCCCGTCCTCTTCACCCTCCGACTCCGACCTCTCGGGCTCCGTCTTGGGAGCGGAGACCACCTGCTTGATCGTCATGACGGTCCCGTCCTCGGCCACCACCTCCTTGACGACCTCCACGGGGCCCGGAGGGGGCTGCCCCTCGGCCTCCTCGCCTCCACCGCCGGCCCCATCCTGCCAAGCGGCTTGGGAACCCTCCAGGGCAGCGCCTCGCCTTCGCTTCTTCTTCCCAGACTTTGGGCCCTGTGAACAGGGGGCATTCCTTACCAGGAGCAGCGCAAAGCCCAGAAGAGGGCTTTCTGCATCACAGGCTGCGCCTCCCTTGCATCCAGGCATGGGAGAGAAACTCATTCATCTTTCTCTTTAGAGCCAACAAAGGCAAACCAAATTTCGGCTGCCCTTCACAATTTGCGCTCCTCCAAGTGCTGCAACGGAGGTTTCCGACGGACAGGTGTGCAAAAATGGTCACATTGGAGAAACGGCAGCGTGCATCATACTGCGCAAGTCACTTGCAAATATATACATTTTGGGGGAACTGTATACAAAAATGCATGTTAAACTTTAAAAAGCCTTGAAGTGCAGAATGAGCTACACAATATTGGAAAACGAGAAACCGCCCAAACAGATTCTTTATACCTTTAGCTTTCCTGGCGGTGATTCCCCCACTCCCCCCATGTATTCAGAAATGGTGCAGTCACTATTTCACTGTACCACTTTGAAATGCAGGTGATAGTTACACAATAGAAAGATCCTTCCTACCTAATCCAATTAACACCTTTTGCAGAACTCTAGGATTATTACCTCTATTACCTGGTTGTAATCCTTACACCCCTATAAGGCAGGTCAGTATTATTATACCCATTTTGCAGATGAAAGCCTGAGCTGATTGGATCGAAAACAAGAAAGCAGTCGGTCAGTTATACCTTTAACAGCCCCGGAAACCACCGGTTCTTTGCCACGTCATAGAAATAAATGTCGTTGAAGAAATCTCCTTCAAGACACTCTTCCTCTTCCTCGTCATGAACCCCGCCAAAGAGCAGGGACCGGTTGTTGGGGCCCATTGTGACCGAGAAGCCAGATCTGGGAGTTGGCTTGACCCCAGAAGGGCTCATCCGGGTCCATGTCCATTTGTCTGGGGATATAACAGGGAGACTGCGAATCAGTGGATGGAGGGGAAAGAAAAGGGGGAGATATTACACCATGGGGAATAAACATTAAATGAGAAAAGGGGAGCTTGCTGAGGCTCCATGCGCCAAGAAGGACCCCCAGTGTGGGCCTCTGGAGTTGCAGCTCCTCCTCCCCGTTGCAACCGGCCGGTTCCCTGTCTCCTCTGCCCAGAGAACAGTGGGGCAGAGCGGGGCGGATGCTGTGGCTGCCAAGAGCGTCTTCAGACATCTCACGCCAGCGAATTATTTTCCAATGCAGGCTCGGCCCGACCTGTGGCTTGTGGGCCCCAGGTGGGCCCAGGTGTTCTGCTCACCTGAGCTTTCGGCCTTCAACAGGAACATGTCTGTGTGAAGCATGCCTTTGTCCACGTCCTTCTTAATCCTCTGCGAAACAAAAGGGGAGACGTTACGGGGCCTTTGTGCTCCCAAGCTTGGGCAGAGCAGGGTCACACTACGAACAAGGAGGTCAAGAGGGACAAGTATGTTATTTTCCCCTCAAAACTGGGTGGTTCTCTCTACGCAGCATGACAAAAAAAGCCCAAATCCACCCAGCTTTGCAGACGGGAGGCTGATGGAGGTGAAGGGGGGGAGAGAAAACAAGAGAAAGGTACTTAATGAGCAGCTCAGGCTCTGCAACCGAGTCCGTGAAGGCAGGCACGGTCTGAAATCCAAGCCGGCATGACTCCGGATTCCGCTCAGCAAACTAATGAGGACGGAATGCAGGCGTGGGGAGACCAGAACTGCTCCCTAAGTCTCTTCTCGTTTGCTTTCACAACAAGCGCGTCGAAGGGGGGAACAAACGCAGAATTCTCGCTTTCCCCTCGTGTTATTACGCAGCCGATGCCTTCACTCTACCACCGTGTGCCCACGCCGATTGAAAAGGATGTGAATTGCTACTACCAGATGTGAGAGCTAGAAGACTAGAGCCAACAAATTACTGATCTCCTTGCAGGGAGCCCCCCCGCCCCCGCCCAGGCACCAGGAACAGCTCTCTTTCTCTCTCCACCTGGCCTACCTCCTAAAATTGTTGTGAGGCTAAGAGTAACGGCACCCATCCCGAAGTCCTTGGAGTCAGGCAAGAAAAACCTCTAAGGGTGGCATCTTAGACACGCTTAGACAAAAAAGGCCTGCTATTCCCAGCATGCTGCACTCTGCCTAGTTATCCACTAAGGCAGGGAGCACAAGCACGTTCGTTCCGTAACCTTGACCAACAAAGCAAATGGAGCACATCAGGGGAGCTGGGAAATATCTTCCCTTCGGCTGTTCAGAGACATTTGCTGCTAATGAGGTCCACCTCTTCCCACTGCGGGGAGGGAGGGGGGACCACTCCTAGCCGTGGATTCTTCATTCTCTGCACACATCGCAACAGAGCTGTCCTTAAGGCTGAGCAATCAAGCAGGATCGAAACAAAGCTTGTGAAATTTCCAAGCCCCTCCACGTTGCAAGAAGCAGGTTAGCTGGCGAGGGGGAAGATGCTGATGGTCCATTTCTGAAACTATAGAGGAAAACTGCCCCAGAAAAGGGGTCATGTTCATGGGCTTTCCCTCCGTTTTCTAAGTATTACTACCGATGATCCAAGGCCTAATGAGACTGCATATTAGGAAAGCCCACTCATTCCAAATACCCATCCTCAATGGGTGATTAAGCCCATGCATTTATAAAAGCTCCTGCCCAAGACATCTGTAATTCATGCAGAGGGTGTGGAAAGGCGGGGGCTGGAATACGCAGCGACCTGCATTTCTGCGTTCTTTTGGGGAGCAGGCTGGTCCCGTCTGCCATCATGAGCAGCTGCACATGAAGGTCTGACTGCTGCACTGGAGCATGGGAGAGAGGAACAATCCCAGCTCACCTGCTTCGAGTAGCCTCCGTAGACAAGGATGTTGCCATCTGGAGTGGCGGTCAGAAGACAACCAGACCTTGGGGCTGGGGCAAGTCCGGAAGGGCTCAGCTTGGTCCAGGCAAACAAGTCCAGATTAAAGGCATAGGCGTCATTGTAGTAGATGTAATCTCTGGTTAGAACAAAAGCAGTGGGCAGAAACCATTATAGGGGAAAGGACGTGTGTCTGGCACCAGCAGAACTGAGAAAAGGCGCCGACTGAGAAGGCGTTGGAGCTGCAGAATCGGGAGGACTGTTTCTGCACTGTGACAAGGCCAGGCATCCGTGATGTTGCTCCGGCGGCCAGACCTTCCAAGCAAAGCATGCCACATGTGGAACGCTTTTCTCACAATGCAGGTGTGTTTCATTCAGTCCCTTCCACAATGGCCGGGTCTCTCTTGAGCAAAGAGGCAGAGGCGTCTGAGCACGGATTACCCGTCCTCCATCCGGCCAAGAAAAAGAACAAGGGAATCATTTAGACACCAAGGAACTGAATTCTGAGACACCTGCCAAAATGTCGGCTGCGTTGAGCACATGAGGACTGACTGCAGAAAGGTTAATTGTGCCGCAAAACTCGTTAGGGGGCAACCTGCAAGGAACGAACAGCCAGACGGCCGAAGCAAACATCACGCTGCCATTGGCCAGGCCATAATCCCCCTTTCCCCAGGTGTGACTTCTCAGCCAAGTGAATCTGCATGCTGTTTACTTCATCCCAGGTTCTCCCCCACCTGTTGCTCTCCTGGTGGCTGGACTACAATTCCCAGAATCCCCCAGGTGAACATGAAAGGGTCAGAAGGTGAATTCACAGAGGAGCTGTCCTCAATTTCTCTCCATCATTTTTTTAAGCGGCTCCAATCCAGCTACAGTCTTTCCAGGCTCTGTTCAAGCATAGCTTTATTCCACTCCCTATAATATATTCTGAAAATATTTAAGTAGAGGGAAAGGCAACACTGAGAAACAAAACCCACTTGGAAGACTTTCAACTCCTCGGCAACACAGGAGCTAAAAGTGCACTGAACTGAGGGCTTTGTGTAGCTTCCTTTGTGTGGTGTGTGTGTGGGTCATGATCTCTGTGTGTGTGTGTGTGTAAGCCAGGGAAATTTGGACAAATTGCGACGGCAGATCATGGCTGGAATTTACTCACCTTTCCCTAGCTTTAAAAAGGAGGCGCACCATTCTGACCTGTCGGCTCAACTCATGCAGAGAAAGTTGGTGCTACTGCTGGATTGATGGGCCAGAACCAAGCGGGCTGGGCCCAATCCACTAGATTTAGACCCCTCTACACAACTGGGGCTCTTACACATCCCTACCTCTAGAATATACCTCAACACAGTTTTATTACACTCAGAATAGAATAGTCAGAATATATTCCAGCACTGATATATTTACCTCAAGAATATGCTCAAGCATGGATTTCCGGGAGATCCCACGCATGTGGAAAGCTCCCAGTTGGGTAAATGACAATATTTGTGTGGCAGCAAACGCTGTAAGTGCGCTGTGTGACGACGGCACGAGCCCCCACATTGCTAAGTGAACAGAAGCACCCAACCAACCTTGCGCTTTCATGGAACCCTCCAAAGACGACCAGGTGCCGCTTGCACACCGCCATCCGATGTCCGCTCCGCCCGGAAGGGCCGCCGGCAGCCCTGAAGCAGACGGAGAGACCGAGCGGTGAAGCCTCCTGCGTCGCTTTGGTGCCAACTCTGCCCCCGTTGAGCAAGCAGCTCCATCAACATTCAGACCTCGCCTGCTCACCCCCTTTGGCTGCAAGGACACGTCTGCCCCCACAGCAAGACAAGCAGCCAGGCCTCCCCACTTCTCCTCCCTCTTGTGCCTGTGCGCACACGCACCCACACACGCACCCACTGTTCTGTTTGTTCACGGAAACAACACCTGGCCTCTGCCCCCTCCTTGGGAAGGGCTCCAAGACGAGAGAGGCAGTGAGGGAGGCAGAGCTGGCTTTGTTTTAATGCTCTCCTGACAGAGCGTGGAACAAAATCAACTTTCTGCTACACCCACCCTCTGGCAGTTTGACTGCAGTTCTCAGAGGACCGGAGGAGGGGGGGGAGGGGGGAGGAAGAGGAGGAGGAGGAGGAGGAGGGGCGGGAGGAGGAGGACTGAACAGCTCTGAGGCACATAGGCCCGGATCAGCCCTCCCCAAGGCTTCAAAGGTTCGGTCCGTCAAAGGCCCTGGGCTCGGTCGTCCTCTCGTTGTGTTTATCTGCACATGTGCAAATGTGGGTTTCTGATCATGTGCAAGCCCCCCCGCCCGCCGCAAATGTGCAAAGCTTCCCGAGCTGCATATTTTCACACCTTAAGATCATGGAAGGAAAAGCACATTTATGGCCAGTGGGCTTTTCATTGTTTGGTATTTTTCAAACAACAGGCACATGCGGGAAGGAAGACGACACAATTCCAAAGCGGGTGCGGGAACAGGCACCGAGAGAGCCAGGTGCTGCTGCAGGATGCAGTTCCGGGACCGAAGCCCCCTCCCCGCAGTCCCCAGCTCAAGCACGGGACCAGCAATACGCATTACGCTCCCACTCACTTGATCTGCTCCCAGGTCCGGCCCGCCAAGTGCAAGACCCAGAGATCTTTGTAGTGGTAGAACTGCTCCCCGTCTGGCGAAGCAAACTCCCCACCAAAGACCCAGAGCTGCCCTCCGCCCTGAGCCACCACCACGGCCTGCGAGAGAGGAGGAGGAAAGGCAGTTGGAGTTTCCAGCGTGGGCAGCCCACTATTCTCGTTTAGCATGGCAAATAATGCGGGGCTGTATCCACCCATTTTACAGATGGGATGACTGAGGGCCCGACAGCCTGCACACGACAGCTGTGGAATCAGCTCTGAGCCTATGAAGTGCATGGCTGGAGCAGGTCCAGGGTTCGCTGGTCCAGCAATTTTTATCCCACAGCTGGCCAAGCAGATGCCCCGGTGGAAACCCTCCAGGCAGAGCAAGAACCACCTCATCCTCCTGCTCATACTCTTCAACTGCTACAAGAGAGCCACCGCCTCTGATCCTGGAGATGCCCAGGACCAGCAGGGATGGGTGGCCTTCACTGCAGGCCTGGCTGGAGTATGAACTGCCACCCCATCGCGGGTTGTCGTTATGTGCGAACCCTGGACTAGGGCTTCACGCTTAACAACCCAGGAAGAGAACCCACTCTCTGCTGCTGGGAGGGGACCCAACCCAGGTCCACATCCTGCAGTGGTGGGAAAGTAGCCTTCTCTAAGCTGGTGCCCCAGGTCCAGAATTGCCCTCCTCAGCGGGCAGCACAGCCAACAGCAGGGGATGATGGGAGATGAAGTGCAGCACATTGAGAAGGTCCCCATCGAGGAAGGCTGGATGACAGCTTATTTCACCAGCCAACGCAGCCTTTGAGGAAAACTAGCAATTTCTCAAGTGCCACCTGCTGGGCATGGGCGTTCACGACAGGAAGAATTTAACAGGGGAGGGTCACCCCCCACCCCCGTTGCTCCAGGCACCAGCTTCGAATCCCACAGATTTTATCTCTCGCAACCCTGCAAGACTGCTTTTCAAATCAGTGCAGTGTTTGCTACTGTGCTTTCCCTCCGCAGGTGGAGCAGGCGATGGCAGACACTACCAGCACAAGGCCGAGCCACCTCCCAGTCCTCCTCGCGGCTGCCCCAGCCAAGGCGAGCACGGTACCTGATGAGCACAGCGCCGGGGAGGGGGGCTCGGGATGTCGATTTTCGCCCAGCTGTTCTTCCGGATGTTGTAAACAAACAGCTCGTTGTACAGGAACGTCTGGTGGAGACATCGGAGAAAGCAGGGGTGTGCCACCTCCCGAGCCAGGCCCAGAGTTCGGCTCAGAGATGCTCCCGGGGGCTGCATCTGGGGGGCGGCTAGAGGGGGGCCACAAAGGCCAGTTCTTCCCACGGGTACATTAAGACACCTTAGGCCAGGGGTCCTCAAACTACGGGCTGGATACAGCCCGCCATGGTCATTTGCCCGGCCCACCTCCGAGCTTTTGGACCCGTTCAGAGAAAACCATCTCTGAGCAGGCGCAGGCTCCCCCACCCCGACTGCATGCATATACAGAGTGGAATACGGAGCAGGAAACAGGAGAGAGGAGGGCGGAAGAGACAGTGAGACGAAGAAACCAAACAAGGATTGAAGGTAAGAAAAATGTAACTTTTAAAATCTATTTTTACCCATGTGAGCCACGTCCCCGGGCTACGGGCCAAGCCACGGCCACCTCGCAGAGCCCGAGGATGGACAGGCTGAGCCAGAGCGGGGCCGTGGCTCCCCAGCCTCCGTCGTGGCCTCCCCTGGGCAAGCCGCTGCCATCGAGCGGCCGCCACGCTTCTTCCCCCCGCGGCGGGGAGCGGCGGGAGGCGCCCCACTGGGCCAGTCGCGGCCCCGTCCCTCACCTCCCCTGGCCTTGGCCCGCAGAAAGCAGCCGTCCCCTCCCTCCTGCCGGCCTCTCCTGCTCCCGGGGCTGGGCGAGCGCCTGCGGGGCCCTTCCTCCGGCTCGGACGCGGGGCGGTGCCAGGAGCCGGGAAGGCCTCCGTCAAGGAGGCGCGCCCCACGGCTCCCCCCGTGTCCCGCTCTCCCTTTCGGAAGCCTCATTTGGGGCTTCTGCTGCCGCCCGAGCGAGCAGAGCAAACCATTTTAATTTTTCAATTAATTCATGAAATTTTAATTAAATTTTAATTTATTTCAAATTGATTAATTTTTATTTTATTTTACTTTAATTAATCTTAATTTATTTTTAATGTATTTTAATTCTAATTAGTTTTTTAATGTGCAGTGTGCCTAGGAATTCATTCATATTTTTTTCAAACTACAGTCCGGCCCCACAACAGTCTGAGGGACAGCGAACTGGCCCCCCGTTTAAAAAGTTTGAGGACCCTGCCTTAAGAGAACCATTTCAAACTTTCAGAATGGGGGGGGGGGAGAAACACCCAAATCCAGGAAAAGCCCAAATGTGATGGGGGAGGAAGGGGCGAGGGATTTGCCCACTGGGGTAACCACAGAGACAGATTCGGAGCCCGGGAAGGCCGCCCTTGGGCCCAAGACCTGGCGTTCTGCACCCTGAAGCAAAAGGACTCACTAGAACATGTAGTCTCATCCAGGAGATTCATTGGCCCAGTTCGGACAACACGATAACCTAACTCCAGGGTTCAGTATGGGTTCTTGTTAAACGAAGGGTTGTTGCCGAAGCATGGGTTAGTGTGTTATCTGAACCCAGCTGAGATAGCAAACCATGGTTAAAAAATAACCACGGTTCACAATCCAACACCCAACTTTGGCTTCTCCTTATAGGTTGTTCATGGTTACCAAGGCGTTTGTTAGAGCAGCTGGGTTCAGACAGCAGGATAACCCGTGTTTCAGCAACAACCCATGGTTCAAAGTCAACTGACATGCAACACATCCTCAACCCTTGAGTGTGTTATTATTGTGCTGCCAGTATCCAGTCATTTCCTCTTTGCTCATAGTCAAGACAGGGAATCAGGAACAACATGGAAGCATCCAGAACAATGGCGCTCCCGACTCTTGCGCATTTCCAGCCACGCGATGCACCATGCAGCCCAGGTTCAGGGCTGGTGTCCTCCAGATGTGCTTGACAGCAACCCCCATCATTCCCAGCCCATGTGGCCATTGGCAATGCTGCTGAGAAGGATGGGAGATGCAGCCCAAGACAGTTGCTCTGAGCTCAACCGGCCATGAGACTTCTGCATCCACAGCTCTGCCTTGTTTGCGGCCGGTGCTAAAAAGCTGCTCATGAGAATAATCACACGGCTTCCCCATTCCTCCGGCACCATCTTTACTTGGCTTGAGAAGAGCGTCTTTGAATTTTGGGGCTCAGACCCCTCCTCTTGCCTGGGATGTACTGCTCTGCTTTTCTTCACACCGGTTTGGCTTCTGGGAAGCAGAGCGTTTTGTGACTGGCCAAATGGTAGCCATTTTAAGGACGGGAACATTTTCCTTCAGGGACTACCATTTTGTGAGAGTGTCTGCAGCTCTCTGTCTGAATTCTAAATTGCAAAAGGACTGGGGACCACTAAAATACAGCAAGAAAGAGAGAGATTGAGAGACAGACAGGCAGAGAGAGAGAGAGAAGGCAATTGGTTCCATTTATACCCTTCTAATTTGAGACTACCCAGTCAGCCCATCCAAAAATCTCCTGCCCTGCAAAATTCATCAGCAGAATGAGCTTGTTTTGAACAGAAAGTTGACGGATTCCTTCTGAATGGTGGTGGGGGGGGGGAGACGGTGAGCCCCTGGAGTCTAAGAAGCCACGGTCGATGGCCTGAATCCGTCTGCAGAAGTGATGAACTCCTGAAACATGGCCATCTCTCTTGACCCTTTTAATGGAATCCAGCATGCCTGTGCGGAGCTGGAACATTATCCAGCAGGCAGTGAGAGAGGAGATTCATTTTTTCTGAGAATAGCTCATGCCGTTTATAGCTCTTCATTAAAAAAATAATCATGATTCTCTGTGAGTCCACTGGAAGATGGAAGAGGAAGGCGGCTTTTATAGGGAGGGGAGAAGAGAGGTTAGGTGATAAGGAGGATACGTCAAAAGGATATACTTTACTTTTTGGCCATTGAAATATTCACCTCCAAACAGAATCAGCTCGTCTTTCTCGGGATGTGCAGAGAGAGACGCGTTCAGCCTGGAGACGGAAAGGGGGTCGAGCGTCAAGGAGGCGGGGATCCAAGCTGGTTGCGCAAACCTGTCCTTGTCAGTATCCCTGGACTGTCCCCACTGAAACCCACCCAGAAAAACTGGCCATTCCAACAGCTTCATCTGCTTTAACTCTGCAAAGTCCCAGCAGAGGAGTCTAAGATGCCCTTGGGGACAGCACCTAATGAGGCCCTGCCAACCCTAAAAAGCTTCACGGTTTTCTTCTTTGCCACTCTGAGCTGGGGGCACTGCTTTGAAGAAGGCCGTGCTTGGGGAATCATGCTCGGCCTCCATTCTCCAGTGCAGCTGTTTCTCCATTTCATCTTCAGCAGGTGCGGCTGTGGATGCACTTGGGACCACCTCTCCCAGTGGCCCCGCAACTATGCTCAACATCCGGGGCCTGCCCCCAAGCACCAGCTCTGAGGGAGACCCAGAGGGCGGCACCAGGAGGGAGGACTTTCCTTGTGGTGGCCCCCATCATGTGGAATGACCTGCCCACTGAGGCCTGCCTGGTGCCAACCCTGTAATCTTTTCACCATAACATTGCGATGGTTCCTTATGCTGAGGCTCTTAAAGACACACTTGCGTTTTTACAGGACTTGTCCTCCATTGTATGATGTTGCAGCTGCTTTCAATGCTTCATTTCAAAAATATTTGTATTTTGATAAGATTAACAAGCTTTAACCTTGATTAATATTGGCCCGCTGTGCTTAAATTAGCTTGTTTTTGTTTACTCCCAATCAGCTCGTTCTACTTAACCATGCGACTAGGAATAGGAAACCTGATGTCCTCCAGAAGTTTTGGACTACCGCTCCCAAAATCCCTGACCTTTGGCCATGGTGGTAGGGCTTGTAGAGGCTGTAGTCTGAAACATCTGCAGGGCACCTGCCCTGCATTATACAGGGATGGCCAACAAAGTAAACCCAAACGGTTTTTTAAAAGGATGTCCTAAGAGCCACCAGATAATGCCCACGAAGAAAGAAGAAAGGCTGGCCTGGAACGCTCGCCATTCGGAGCAGCGGCTGCAACGCTGTGCTGGGCAAGTTCTTTAATTCTTGCATTTCTGAGCGGCCCAAGACATTCGCTGGGGGTGCGGCCCACATTCGGGGCCCACAGGACCCCTGGGCCTTTCCTTACCTGGGTGAGGGAGGTGCGCAGGTTGCCTCGACCACCTGAGTCTTCTTCGCATCCAGACTCTGGAATTCTGCAATCAGAGCTTCGAGATCTTCCTGTACATGGAGAGTCAAATGGAGAGTGTTTAGAAAGGTCAAGGACTGCGCTGTGTGGAAGAGGGTGTCCTGTGGAAGGCCCTTCTCCCACACACAGTTGGGGGGCCCCTTCCATTCCCTGCCCCATCTCTCTCTCTCTCCCCCAACAGCCCCCAAGTGCTCCTGGCTACGGTTAAAAACAAAACAAAGCCAGCTGTATTGACCGTGAGAAAACTCCAAAACATACACTCAGAGAGTCCCTCCGCCTGCTCTTGGCAGACTCTCCTCCATGGCCTGACTCTTTTGCAGCACATTTTCGGGGGGCTTGAGGGGCTTCCTGGGAAGCACAGGCTGGGGAAGGCCATGCCCACCAGGGCAGGTGATCCAGGCATGAACCCGGACCTAGCAGCACCAGCAGTGGGGTAGCTCGGGCCAGGCCTTGGGGCAAACGTCCAGGGATGCCCCACCTGGGGACCCCAGCTGGCCATCCAAAGGCAGGCAATGAGCGCATCAGAGGGGTACAAGCAAGGTCGCTTTACTTCTGGAGTTTTGCAGGCGCCAGTGTGCAGGTGAGCACAGAATACAGAACCACACTCCGCTAAAACCAGTACCAGCAACTGCGGGAGCTTTCTAGTGTCCCCGAAATACAGAAGACGTGTGAAGGAGGCCTGAGGTGAGCTGTGTGATATACCTCATTGTGTGATACGCACGGGTCGTGAACCTAGACTAAATCAGGGTGTTAAATTCCTGAGCTGCGTGCAATAGCAGGCTAAGCCAAAGCTAGCAACGTGTGCGTGCTTTTGAGACAGCCAGATCTCTGCATCGGGCAGGTTTTTTTGCTGGGGGGAAGCGGGGCTGCGAAGCCAGGCATGGCGGCGGAACTGCGGGGGCCGCATGCTCGGAGTTCCCCGGGGGCCGCGGAAAGGGGCATGAGGCCCCGCGGCAGCTGGAGGGCCGCAGCTCGGCTCCGCTGCAGCGGGACCCGCGGGCCCCAGAAGCGGGACAGCCCCGTGTCCTTCCTCCGCCTGCTTCCGATTCCGGGCGACGCGCTCAGAGCAGGGGCGGGCGGGCTGCCCCCCGGCCGCCCCAGTGCCGCCCCCCGGCCGCCCCGCGCACTCGCCTCCTCTTTCCTCGCCCGCTTGGAGACCTTCTTCTCCATCTTGGCAGCCGCCTTCTCGGCGCCCTTGCCCTTGCGCTCCTTTCTGCTCTTCTTGCCCATCTTGGCAAGGAAAGGCGCAGCGGCGGCTCCCGCGCCCGGCCTGGCTCGGCCTTTTCCGGGCCCCCCGCCGCGCAGCTCACATCCTGCCGGGGAAAGCAGAAGGGAGGCCGGCTGCTCCGCGCTCGCCTCCCAGGCCATCTGCTGGGACGGAGGTCTCCCTGCAAGGGTGGCGCCGGGAGGTCCCGGGGCGGGTTTGGGGCACCGCCGGGGCGGAGAGCGTGCGTGGGCTTCCTGCGGCCCGTGAGACGTGGTGCGCGGCTGCAGAAGATCCCGGGTCTGTGCAGAAGAACTTCGGTTTATGCACCGTCTGTATCGGCGGCCAAAGGCACCGTGTCTTTTGGGTTTAGCTTTTGAACTGAGGCGGCCTAACGTGCGTGCGTATTCGGGCTTTTGCTTTTTCACGGGTTTGGGACAGAGCGGGGCGCTGCTGGCATGCCTGCTGCTTTGGATCACAAACCCCATCTGATGGCATGCCTCTCCTGCTATGAACCTGCCTGGGCAATTTGTTCTCCGTGGGATGCTTTTGTCGGAATGGTTCCTCCGATGGAGGTTTGGCGTGTCCTCTTGTGGCGACCCAGAAGGAAGGGTTCGGCTTGGGGCTGGGCATTTGCAGCTGAAGAGCTGCTGCAGAGGCATGTAACCAACCCCTCTGCAGTGTAGCATAGTGGTCAGAGCACCGGACTGGGGCTCAGGAGATCTGGGTTCTTGCCCCCATTCAGGCAGGGAGCTTGTTGCAGGGCCTTGGGCCAGGCTTGGCCCCTCAGTCTAACCTCCCCGTGTGGCCGTGAGGTGCAGCGGCTTCTTGCAAGAGGAAAAACGGTGTGATATAAATCTAAAAAGCAGGGAAGGGGGAACGGCGCACCGAATGCCTCTACTCAGTGGCCTCGTCAGGCATTATTTTCCCAGACATTTTAGTCTCGCATTTCCTGTTGTTTTTAACCTTGTTAATATTTATTTAAGCCTCTTCTGGTTTCTGCTGCTCCTCTTCCCCACCTCTGTTGTCTGGGCCAGAGCAAGAGGAAAGGGAGAAGGAGGTTTCAGGGTGAGAGCCGGAGGGCCCCGGGGGGCTTTGGTCCCTGGTTCCCTGCCTGAGCATTCCTGCTTCGGAGGCCGAAGGGCCCAGACGTGTGTTGTGCTTTGCTCTGCTGGCGCTGCACATTTTTCCTGACTTACCGCACGCGACGTATTCGAGACAGCGACCTGAAATAACAAGGCCCGCTTCTGTGAAGTGCCGGGGTGAAAGCACAGGCCCCATCGCGGCGGAGACGTGGCTGTCTGCCATTCTGGTGAGAAAGGGCACCTGGGCTATTGCTGCTCTCAGCAGATTCTCTGGCAAGCCAGGCTTTTGTGGCCACGAAAACACAGGAAATCCCGTCTGTGCGGCGAGGCCCCGGAGCGTCTCCCCCAAGCGCATGGGAAGGCTGTGCCAAGCAAGGGAAGCTGCCCGGGACGCTGGGGGCATTCTCCATCCCACCTGCCTTTTGGGGCACTTAGTCGCAGGGCGAGCCAACGACGTTTGCTCCCTGAGGCAAAGTCCGGCATGGCCCCCTCCCTTGGCCCGCACAAGGCCATCCCGACTGGCGCTGCGTCTTTCTGCTACCCTGGGAAAAGGACAGCCCCTTCTGCCACGCCTGGAGGCAGCAGGAGGGCGGGCTAGGTGGCCCACAGGCCTTTCCCACCGACGCTCGTTGGCCGCCTCCCGGAATCCGCTGCCCGAGGCAGCTGCCCCTCTTGTCTCCTGGCAGGGCCAGCCCTGCTTAATGGACTCCGCACTCCAGTTGGAGCGTACTACTCTTAAATTAGGGGTGGATTACACAGGGCCTGCAGACAGCATGTGCCCCTTGGCTCTTTTGCAAGGGCTCCCCAAAAGCTGCTGGATTTGCTGCCAGCCGCGCCCTCTCCATCATTGAGTCGGCCAAGTCAAGACTAGAACCTCCGAGCCTCTCAGCAGTGTTGCTCTAGTTTATACGTCTAACCACTAGGCCAGCCTTCCTTCTGGCAGCAGAAATGACTGATTCCGATATCCGTGGGGGTCCTCCTTCATGGCAGCTGTTACTCTGAGCTTTCTAAATGCTGCCCAGGTGCTGAAAGGCAGCAAGCCTGAGGGTGGTGTTCAGCACCGTGGAGAGCTCCTGTGAAGCTCTGGGGGTGGCCACTTTCTCAAGGGAACAGGGGAGCGCTCTTCCAACAATTCCCACAGAAAATAATCAGGAACTCCTGACTAGACTCAGAGCAGAGAGCCACCAATTAATCTCCTGAACCCGTCTTAAGGAGCATTAAATTTCCACTGAACGTTAAGCTGTCGGGGTTCAGATGGGGAGAGACCACGACGTTGGCTGTATCATTGAAGTGCGTGAAGGCTCGGAGGCAGCCAGGATGCATTTGATTAAGGGACGAGGGTGCTGGGGATGATGGAGCCCCTAATGAGTCTCAGCGACATCTCCAAGAAGGAGCTTTAAAATAGCCAGACATCCGGCCAAAATAGGTCACCGTGCGGAGTGCCTGCCACCCACGACTAATAATTAGCCATTATTATTTTTCACCAAATCAGGTGAACATTCTCCGTGACTCAAAAGTCTCTGAACTCCACGAGCAAACCCGATTCATCAACGACATGCCGCAGTCCTAATTATAGAGTTCGATTAGGGGAAACATCTCTCTCATTAATCTTCCCCATCCTGGCACCATCCCGACATGGGGAACCATCACCCAGCCGATGTGCTGGATTGCAACCCCGCAGTTGCACCTCGTGGGGTTGTTGTTGTCTCCCCCCCCACTGGACCACATGCCCCTCCTGCCCCCAGGAGGCTCCCCTCCCCTCCCTGCAGGCTGAAAGATGGTCAGTGCTCTTGCATTAGGGGATGGCAGAAGAAACACCTACGGTGTGCGAAAGGTGGCAGGGAGGGGTAGGGGGCCATCTTTGGTGGGGCAATTAGAGAGTTAGAGGCAGGGCCAGGGTCAGAAGCAGGACTGCCTGGAGACCTGCTGAGGGGCCACACCAACTGATAAGACCCCCTGGACCCGAGCATCCTCTTCGCCGCACCGTGTGGGCCTCCCCGGATAGATGACTGGGCGCGTCCTCTTGTCTCTCCCTGGGCCAGGCCATGAGTGCACCGCACTGCTTGGCCTGCCCGCGACTGCTTACCCAGCCCCTTCGCCCAGGGCTGGGCCACAACACGCCTTCTGGCACAGGGCTGATGCAACCCTGGCTCGATGTGGTGGGCAGCTCCTTCCTGCAGTGACGGTCGCTCACGCCAGATGTCAGCCTTCTGCCGAGGACCGAGGCTCTTCCTCTGCCGCAGCTCTGGCCCACGGTTAGGAGGATGGTGCAAGGACCGCCGGAGGGTTGCATCATCGTGCCGACGGGACCGCTTTTTCTTTTGCGTTCCCCGCCAGACAAAAGGCTTGGTGTGGGAAGACCGCACGCCCCAGACCCAGACCGTGAGGCAGAGGGGAAGGCCCGAGCCATCATCCCCCAGAATTACCCTTCCTTGGTGTGGCCAGTCGGAGCACCGGGGGCAAATCCTTGAATGCAATTCCTGTTTTGCTTGCAGTGCTCCAAAGCCTTGGTCAATGCTCTGCCTAATTAAAACGTTCCCAATAAAATACAGAGGACGAGGAGTGTGCTCAACCCAGAAATGGACTTGAGAGCCAGTGGGGCTTTGGACACTGGCGAGGCACCGGTGAGAGGGGTGCCCGTCAAGTACGGGGCCCAGCCTGATACTCGGTCTTTCCGGGGGGCTTCCATCTGGACCATCAACCACGGTACAGGTGCATTTCCTCCGTGCCGGAGGGTTTGCTGTTCTCATCTCCCTGCCAGTGCCTTGAGGCCAATGGAAAGTATGACTAGAGTGCTGTGATAAGGGAGAGGGCCTTTCACTCCTCCTCCATGCAGCTAATTATAGACGTGGGCCAACAGAATGGAAATCAATCACTCAGATGCGTGTGAGGGGCATCCACAGAGAAACGACTGCGCCAGAGTTGCTCCCTTGGCTATTGTTGGAGGACATGGCAGTCCCTGCGAACTCGGGAGCAAATGTTTGCTCTCTTTATCGTCTGTTTACCGGGGACAATGGGACGGGGATCTTGCAGTAAATTGGATTTCTGTGTTGGTAGCCATGAGCTCCTCATCCAGGCAGAAAACAGGACTGTTTGTGGAGGGATGGCCCACCTGCCCATCACCAGGTGCCCAAGAAGGCTCTAGAATTCCAGGCAGCTGATTTAAGAACAAGCTGGGAACAAAGTCTGAGCCCTGCTGGATCACGGAAAAATCACAGAAACATAGAAACAGAGCAAGTCAGAAGGGGTCTCCCGGGCCATCTAGTCTGACCTCCGGCAACATCTTGTGCAACTTTTGGACACTGTGCAGCACTGACACTGTCCATCTTGTGCAACATTTTGTGCGTGCGGGGGTCAGCTGACGGCCCCTGGGAGACACAGCAGTATCTTATATATTTATTTTATTTCTATAAAGGAGGGCAAGAGCAGCTTCCCACTCATGTTCTCCAGCAAACCAGGTATCAAATCTGCTTGCAGCAGTACTTTGTGAAGCCAGTGAGCCTTGCCTGCCTGTTCCAAGACCTAAGCTCTGCCAAATACTCCACATTAGAACAAGAAGCCGTGCTCTGACCGGGCTGAATTAATGGCGGGTTGCTGCATCCTCTGAACCTACGTCCCTTCTGGCAGGGTGGCTTATTTTCATTTTGCAGCAAGCCACGATGAAGGCCTGTGGCTTGTTTTAGGGGTTGCTCGATCCATGATGGATTGTTTCATCCAAGCCTGGGAGGACAAACATGGAAAGGGGGCTTATGCTGAGCCAGCTCCCTGGTCCATCTAGGCCACAGTTGTTGACTCTGACTGGCAGCAACAGCTCTGCTGGCTTTTCAGACCTGATGCTTTCTGAGCTTTACCTGGAGATGCAGAGAGATGCATCTGCAAGTGTCCCGAGATGTCAGTAATGGAAAAGCAGGAGGCCCTCAGGCAGAGGTCTGTCCTCCCAACAGAGATGTACCACTCAGA